AAAACTCTGGTTAAACTAGTATATATAACATCGTCTTAAATATACAGTGACGAATAAATTTGAGATATGTTTAGTCACTAGTAAAAGAACATCAAGGTGGTAGCGGCGTTTAATATTTCTGAAGGTAAAAATACTTTTCTTGTGATCACTTGAGGATTATTCCCTTAGGTTTTTTACACGATTAAGTACCCAAACGATACCTGGGAGGGTTAGGTTAGTTTTGGTTATGTTAGGCTTGGCTAGGTTATGTTAAGTATAGGCCAAATTAGGTTTATGTGAGGGCGGTTATCTTAAGGTGAAATAAGACGGGATTGTCAGTTCTTCACGTGATATTTTTCACTAAAGGGTAAGAATATGCCTCGTAATGGTGACATCTACAAATATATCGAAAAAATAGCCTGACGTTGGTGCTACTTAGCTTAAAATATAAACAGAAGCATCATGTTGTACTAATAGAAAATTTATAAAGGAGTAATATAAGAAAATATACAGTCGCTGGGATGCAACAGTAGGTGGCAGCAGGTGTGGGTTGAAGTCAGGTGTGTGTGTGTGTGAGAGCTTTGTTCGTGAGTGATACTAGGTGACGCCTACCCCTGTCATCTTGTTACCTGAATGTGTGTGTTGTTCCTGAGCGACATAAGAGACAGTATCTGCTGTTATACACGCACATTTAACTGTACATTTTTAAATATATACATGCACACCCGGCCAGCTCATGCCAAGGGTCCTCTTTGTACCCAAGCTTGCGCCTCCCAAGCACTCGTCAGTAACGCCGCTGAACACCAATGCATCTAAGCAATCACGGCTGAGTACCAGTGCAGTTTCAATGTAATTTTTACCACTTCAATTGACCCAACTACAGTGAGCATATAGGTGTGTTTTCACGTCTTTACTCACGAGAAGAATGAACCTTACGAACGCTTAAGAACCCGCACGTCAGTTTAACAGCATATATAACCCTTTAAACGTCAACTTTGAAAATATATTAATGTTCGCCGCCCTAATTGTTATATTAGGTGCTCGTTGATAAATGAGTTAAACTGGGACCTTTTAATATATTTAGCATTTGTATTTATAAAGCGGCTATTACTCTCGTTCACGCGTTCATTCTTGTTATTAATTTTGGCGTTCTGAATAATTACGTTCACTGGCTGTTGAGGTGGACCCCTGCCACTGATATTTCTAGACACGGTGATGACAATATTCGCATCTAATCTATATTGTAAATAAATAGTGAAATTCCTCCCCTTTTCTACCTCCTTGTGATTATCTAATATATTTCTGGGGTTTGAATCACACACATTGTCTCTGGGGTTATCATATACACTTTCTCTTGAGATATACGTAAACGCACCCTTTCTTTGGGGTTAAAACCATACTCATTGTCTATGGTGTTAGAATTATACACATTACTTCTTTGGTGTTAAATTCATACCAATTATTCCATGGGGCTAGAATAATACATAATACATAGAACCATACGCACTATATAATCGCTGGGGCCTATAGTTAGTCATACAGTGAAGGACAGACACAAATATGATTACCTTTATCATTATTATCCACTGTTCCTTACCCTTATAGTGTGTCAGAAGTGTGTGTGTGTTGGGGAGTTATATATGTGTGGGGTGTAATGTGTATGTGTGTAGGGAAGTGTCTAAATGTGTGTGTTCCTGCCTGTTGAAGTGATTAACTGTGTGTGTGTGTGTGTGTGTGTGTGACGGCTAGTGGGTAGTGGATGATGGGTGATGGTTAATTGGTGGTTTATGAGTAGTGGATGATGGGTGGTGGCTAATTGGTGGTTTATGAGTGGTGGATGATGGGTGGTGGCTAATTGGTGGTTTATGAGTGGTGGATGATGGGTGGTGGCTAATTGGTGGTTTATGAGTGGTGGATGATGGGTGGTGGCTAATTGGTGGTTTATGAGTGGTGGATGATGGGTGATGGCTAATTGGTGGTTTATGAGTGGTGGATGATGGGTGATCAGATAATATTACAGTCTATGATCATCACGAAGTAAATATATATTAAGTATTTATACAAGCCCGCATCTTACTGCCACACATTAGCCTCGCTGCCTAACGTATAAATAATTTAATCCGCTGCTGCATACAATAATAAACATCTAATGAATTCACTATCAGAAATAATCACCACCCAATAAAAATACATTAAATAAACACGACCTTGATATTATTCTACGGATTAAAATTAAAATAAAATGTACGCCCTTTATTATTTTCCATTGTCTCTGGATCATGAATCAACCAATAACACGCCATCGTTCCTATTGCTGATGTTCTATATTGAAACCGAGGAATCAGACTGCAGCAGGGTGATGACGTGCCCCAGGACCCAGTGTGAGTGTACTTGAGGGTGTAAAGGACGGGTCGGGTATAGTAAGTGTAATATAATTATGATAAGAGAGCGACAAAAGGGTGTGTGTGTGTATACCATCTATCTGTCTGTCCGTGTTGGGTGTCACTTGATGGTTTACTTGTGCCAGGGGGCTAAGTGGTGGTGTGGAGTTGACGCACCTGTGGGAGAGGACCAATGCTCTCTCTGTCTCTCTCTTCGTCTTTTACGTCTATCTATCTATCTGCCTGTTAGTCAGTCATTTTTTTCTCACACACCCCACTGACCCCCAACCTCGTTACCTACTTACTAAATGCAAAAATACCCATACTAAAGCCCTCTTGATTGGTATACATACAACCATCCTTAATTATTATCAGTTTGCGTAAAAAAGCTTCTTAATTAGGACGAACTATACAAACAAGTTGGGAGACATGTACCTGTATACAAATGTTGTACCAGAACGCACGCGCGCACACACACACACTTACAAGCATTTTTTTTAATTTTTTTTAGTTGGATACATATTTTTTTTTATTTTTGTACTTTTTAACCTTTTCGGGTGGTGGGTACATGGTTGTCTCACGAACATAAACTCACTTTTATTTTTTCGTAAGCATTTATCTTCAAGGGCAAGTGTTGTGTCTAAATGTTTTAACTTCGCCACCAACCCATCTCGGCCACAAACAATAGGCTTCCTGGTGTAGATACTCTCGCAGCTAACCTGAGAGCCTGAAGTCAATCGCTCAAGTATCAGGAAAAGGGGATTTGTGAAGTACTGTACTTGAGAACTTTCAAGACGTAGCTGACTTATCCATTACACCGCCATTATCAAGTGAGGGAAAACAGATTACTTGAAGATTAGCCACCCTAGCTTATTTCAGCTGATGATTATACACCCTACTGCTACCTAGGGGATTAAGTTAGTGATAAGGTGATATAAGCTGGTGGAGCTAATCTGCAGGTGATCTGGAATCCGCCCCCCTTCACTTCTCCACTAATACATTCCTTTCCTCCCAGCTGATACCCTTCAGGAAGCAGACAACGTAAGGTACAACTGACGGACGACCCTGATTATGCGTGGGTCGAGAGAAAATGGAGCTGTCACGTCCTTAAGACCACAAGCCCAGAACTAATAGCCGAACATATCGTACCGCACAACTGATGAACACCCTCCTCCTCATCATCTTCCCACGGCAGCTGCAGAAGACCTACTCTTGAATACAATTTACGCCCCGCACCAATATACAACACGAAATTCCTCCCCTCCTTTTGAAGTTGATTGGTATCAGCCTTGTTTTTAGCTGTGGAATTTTTGACGGAGTATAATGAACGTCGTAAAATTCATTATACTCATGACTATGATTCTCGAGCACCACGGAAATGGCAAACAAGAGGGAGTGTTGCTCAGCGCCCAGAATACAGAAGCGTGTTGAAGGAGGAAATATTTACGGTGTATTTTCTTCCCAAGGAGAGATAAATGGTGGTGATAGTAAAGATAACGATATAAAAACTAAACCAGATGAGATAATCAGTGTGTAACTTGACAGACTTAAGACCAATCCAGAGAACCCCACACAAGACGAACTTTAAAGTTCCTCAAAATTATGTACCTTAATTTCATCCTTTAACTAACGATAAAAGAATAAATCTAATTAACATAAAGTCTCAGTATAAATTTGATGTCACGGCTCACTTAACACATTTAATACATTAGTACCAAAACAATCAGCAAAATTTGTTAGTTTCGTCTCCTCACTGATGCGGAGTGATCATATAAAATTCAGTTAAGGTGGATTCTCAAGTGTGGTTTGAGGAGTTTGGTCTCCACTTACGAAAAAAAAAATACGAGCCTTTGAATCAGAAATCAAAAGTAAAGAAACTGAAGTATAACGTATTTTAAATAGTGTTTATTTTGTAAGTGGTTTTTGGCATTTGTGCTGTTTGTTTGAGAAAGGAGAAAGAAAAAAAATACACTCCTGGGACTGACAGTCAAGGTCAAAGACTGAGGTCTGGCGCGTGAGAGAAAGCAAATCTGGTTCTCCGGGAGCTAGAGTTATGTTATTTATCTGCTAAAGATAGCTGCTTGTTTTGGTGTGAAAGAGTGAGCAACAGCTGAGCCCTGACACCTGTGTGTACGCATTTGTGGCGAAGGCCTCTCTCTCTCTCACGACGCCATGTGACCTTGGCTTTTGCGGCATTAAAAGATCATATTCATAACAATAATCTCTTCCCCCTTTCTCTGAGGTTTCTATACCCTTTGATCCAGCCCACATAAAAATATAGGGGGAAGAAGTAAGGCATACAGAAAGTGCTGCGGCGGGTAATGCATTATCCTATGCTTAACATACTGTACAAACTTCGAGCAAGACCTAGAATCTCAAAGACTCCTATTATTTTTCCCCATAACTGATGATACTTGAATGTTACGTATTTTTTTTAGATGGATAGACAGATCCCACATTATGTGACGAAGACGAAAGAGAGATTGAATCTAGTCAAGGATGTCAGAACAGAGAGAGAGGGGGGAGGGGGGATTTCCATGATATTTATAAAGATGGAGGTAAGGAGAGTAGGTGCCATGTGTTTACACCTGACATCCCTACATGAACTCACTAACACGGCGTGCGTCTTCCCCTTGCCAGGTGGTTGAAGATGGGCAAGTGCAGCTGGAGCGGGTTCGAGCGTGGCGTAAAGTTGGTGATCACGTTTGTGTTCAGCCACGTTGGGTTGTGTGCCTTCGTGGCCGGCTACTCTGTGGCAGGAGCCTTCCTCTTCAAGGAACTGGAGCAGAAACACATCGAGGTACACTACGAGCCTCTCCGCCACCGTTCTGCCTGCTTTCACGACCTCTACAACATCACAGGTACAATACTACCACCTCCCTCCACCCGACACTCTTAGTTATTATGGCATCGATCTACCTTTTCTAGGGTATCATAAACTGTTATATATCAATATATTTCAGAATCTGTTATATCTATTCAATTCACAATCTATCACATATAATTATATATTTAGCATTTCAGTATCAATGTTCTATCTACCCAGCAGTTCGGGATTTGTGTGTACGTGTGTGTGAGTGTAATCCTTTTGGCTATCTTCAAAATTTACAAAACGACAGTGCATGAATCATACCAGAGAGGCTAGTAACACTGTCTGTACTGTATTTATGTCGTCTCTAACGCCCTCGCCACCCATAGAACGCGCGGGGGAGGAGTTGAGCTCAAGGGACTGGCGGGAGATCTTCAACTCGACGCGGTGGCAGGAAGAGGTAATGGAAAGACTGACCGACTTCGAGGATCGGCTGGTGACGGCCGTGAGTAACCAGCTCTACGACCAAGATCCAGACAAGCAGCGCGAAAGATGGAGTATCATCGGCTCTCTCTTCTACTGCGTCACCGTCATCACCACCATAGGTACGTCTCGTAGGGGAGGAGGGGGGGTCGTGTTCAGGTATTATGACCCTTCTTTAATGAATGATCTGAGTCTGTACATAACTCACTGATGGAGGGAAGATAGTGCCTTAAAATAAGATATCGCACACATCTGTACATTTAATATTATAAGTACGAGTTAAATATAAGAGATTGTCTAAAAATTTACGTCATTGATCACATCATACAGTAATTAACAGCTACCTACATGAGTTCGAAGCCTTTATATACAGGTTTCGTTGATCTCGTGACTTTGTTTATCAACACGGTGAGAGGCAAAAACACGGGGCGGTACGCTTGAGTAGGCACCAAGTCAACCGTAAATTAGCTCTGTTTATTGTTACTGTGGCGAGGATTTGTTGCAGTTGAGCAGTGAGTGATACAGAAATGGTTTGACCACAATTGAGTGTTAATTTCTACATAATAATAAATACTCTGTGGATTTCAGCGTTAAAAACTGAAAGGAAAATAGAAAACTTAATTTGTTAAGGTCATTATCATTTCCTTAATTCTGTACAGGTAAAGGTAAACATGAATGTAAAATTACAGGTACAGGTAAATCTACAGGTACAGACAACAGTTGAAGCATGTGAAATTACAGATAGATAGACGCACAAATAAGAGAAAAAATATTACAAGACACCAACATTTAACCCTTCAGCCTTCAAATATTATTAGATTCTTTTCGTTGGAGGGAGAGAAAGAGAACGGTAGTGTGTGTTCATGTGTTGCTAAATAACGATCATAATCAAATACTGGCCAGATGTTAATCAGTGTTATTGTACAGTTTTTAGGGAAGGGAAACTATCTAATGTGTGTGTTGTCTGGTTATCTTAGACATATATGGAACTCCAGATTAAAAACAAATGACAGTAACTGCATAACATTTTACAGACTACGTGGGTGACTAATTCCCCCTCTCTCACCTTTTTATTTAACATTTCTCACACATGACGAGAGCCTACACGGTGTTTGGGACACAGTGATGTGTTGGGCGGAAAGCAGCGGCAGCCTGACAATATAAACAAACCGCCAGCTTCAACACGTGGCGTCTGGGACCTCCTCCCTCCCCTCCCCCTCATCCCGCTTCCTGCCTTACTTGTTTACTTCAGTGAGAGGTTGTTGAGGCCGGGTTACCCCTTCACTTCTTGTTTACCTCAGTTGCTTACCCCTGTCACGTTTTTTTTTTTACTTCAATGAGGGTTAGGAACGGGTTATACTTATTGGGTTCTCTCTTTGCCATGGTGTGTAGTGTTGGGGGTAGTGAGGACTAGCTTCAGAAGTGTATTTTTGCACCTTGTATTTACTATCTAGTTTTGCCTGATTGTACTTCACCTTAGTTGATATACAGTACACAAAAAAACTGGTTCGCGTAAAAATTACTGACGGTATCTCCAGCTTATTTCACCTGGACGTGTTTTATTTGTTCGTATGATGAAAGTAGCAGATTAGTGTGAGAAGTGAAGAAATTAAGGGAGAGGGTGAGATAGCGACGGGGAGCGTGTTAAGGGAAGAAGGGAGAGGGGGAGGGGGAGGTGGAAAGCAGTACTAAGAGGCAGGTTGGGTAATTATTATTGTTCCCTGATAACTATTTTGGTTGGTTGTTTGGTCTTTAAATATAAGCTGCGGGGAACGTCTGTCACACGCTTCTGCCACACCTACGCCACCCTTGTACATAGTCCTAATGTATACACACCTCTTGTGCATGAACCCATTGGACACAAACACACTTGTAAATAAACTCTTTAAGGTTTCTCTAATCCAACCACATCACCTCTCATCCATCATGATCTTACAACTGCCACATAAACCCAAGACAAAACCGGTATTTTAGGAGTCCACATTCTATATTTGGCTAAGTCAACCTCTGAGCCTGGTGTCGTCCTTTAAGTACAGTAATTTACCTCGTGGCTACCACAACTAGAGGTGGCTGAGTGTTCTAATTTCACCCTAACTTATGTAACAAACAATATTTTGTATAACTTTATTTCAATGTTTTCCTCAAGCCATCACTTTTTATCGTTATTTCGATTGTCATAATATTTATAAAATTCAAGCCATTGGTCCACTTCTTTTCAATCCGCTGCAGGTTTGCAATACTTATCATTCTTTGTTTGCAAGTTCCCTTCAGTCGAACCTCATCATTTTCATCATTCATTCCTCACATTTCTTGACTATGTAACACCTTTTACTCTCACATCTTTCCAACATCCTATAGCCTGCAGGATCATTATATGTTGGACAAATAGCCACCTCTTATGACAACCAAGTACAGTACTGTATATAGGCTTTTATTCTGTCCTGTTCAGGGTGTACCACGAAAACCTGTCTTCAGAAAGGGTCGCTTCATCAGTAACATTACGGTACACTTAATAAAAATATGTATTAACCACCCTGCCTTGCATAACAATATACAGTAAAACACTGTGCAAAAAGTGTGAACGTATATATACTGTATGAGGTTACAGACATCAGTAGGTTGTTAGCAGTCATTTTCTATTCTATTGACCTTGGGGTGGTCGATACTTGCTTAACTTTCTGTACTCCATTACGATATTATGATAAAAGTTCCCTTGCAACCACTTTTTTCTAGAACACTCACACGTCATCCTCTCCGGCAGGTTACGGACACGTTTCCCCAAAGACATGGGAGGGGAAGATGGTGACGATTGTGTATGCCATCATGGGCATCCCTCTAATGTTACTTTGTCTCACCAACATTGGCAACTCCATGGCTGTCTCTTTCAGGTAGGTACTCGCTCTCATGGTGGGTATTTGGCTATGGTCACCTGAAAATAAGTAAATACTGTACTATAGTGCATTTTTTCCCAGCTGAGAAGAGATGCCCCGATCCTCCTCAAGAATTACAGCTGATTGGCCATTGCAAATCTATATGATTTCATCCTTAAGTAATGATGTACAGTGAGTTCTGCTATAACGCATATAGAGGAACGATATTTGTATAACGCGAACGCTTGTTTGCTGTAACGCGATTTTTTATTACTATTTCTCCAATTTTGTGGTATTAACTGTGAATATGGTAAAGAAGAATATCTCCAAGAAGCGTTCTGGTGATCGCATTCCCAGTGATGATCGTAAAAGAAAGGCTATAACCCTTGAAGAGAAGCTCGATGTTATCTACCTCAAAATCACCCTTCTCCCCCATCAAGTTATATTCATATTTTTTCAAGGTAAAGTGTTACATTTACTGTATGATTTCATTATTAGATATGAACGTAACATTTATTTAGACTGTGCTATCCTTTGTGTTAGGCTAACTACTAAATTTTTTTCGATTTCGAGTAGTAATATGCATCTAACCCTATTTTCTCCATAAGCCCTGTTATTTCTATTACGCGAATTTCTATAACACGGTGTTTTACAAGAACACAACTATCGCGTTATAGCAGAACTGACTGTATAGTATTTCTAAATGAGTTTATTCATAATAGTTGGGATGACCGTTTTTGACGAGAGAGATACAGTATGTTTGCGCCTAACATCGGGGTTATGTTCCTAAAAGTGCGACATTATATGGAACAACGTTAAGCGGATCAATTTTCCCCATAAGAAATAGATAAAATGCGGGAGTTACGTTCCTGAGCCTCCCTTTGCCCCGTGAAATACATTACATAGACAGAAAATCATTGCCATTTCTATAGAAAATAGTGCATGCATATACAACTACTAAGTTTGTATTGGTACTCGCCGATGGGCGGAGGTGGTAGAGCGAGTGTGTGGTGGGTAGTGAAGCAGAGGAGGAGGATGGCGGGAGGGGAGGAGTATGGCGGGAGCGGAGGAGGAGGGTGGGTCACTGAGACTCTGCGGCTGCCTCATCCTCCTCCTGCTCTGACTGGAGTTCCTCCACCGCTGTTTGCTCCTCCTCAGTTGTTGCTTGCGCAGTAAAAAGTAGTCCGTGACGACGCAAAACGATGTTGTACCGAGTCATCGGGACGTTAAAAAAATTTTTGGTATCTAAAGATTAGCGACGTAGTACCGAAACAACGTTAAGTGGGCTGACATTATACGAGGACTTACTGTATTTAGCTAAATTATATAAAGATACATACATTCATTATTTCAAATATGAGCACGTAGGAGGTTTATCAGAAATCTTATACAGTGGTCCCTCGGTTAACGAACGCTTCGGTCAACGAATTACTTTCCATAAGAATCTTCAATTCGGTTAACGAACAAAAATTTGATTTACGAAATTCTTACGAAAACATGTTAACATGTTTTGGCTTGCTCATCGGCTGGTAGGTTAGTCCGCCAATACAGTAATTGGTTCTAGGGCTTACATTCGTTTCCATTGGAGTAAATATCAAGAAGGTTGTGCTATTCAATATATTTCCAAGTTTTATATTAAAATTATTAGTAATTTTAACATTTATTTAACATAATTGCAGTACAGGGAACTAGTTTTTGGTACGCCCATGAGCCACTTCACTCACCCACCAAGGCGTCTGTTTGAGTCTCTGTTCAGTTGGAGAAACATCTTGCTTGTGGATCTCTTGAACACAAGAGTATTTTTATGTTTTTCCAGTACAATTATCGGTCATTCTGAAATTTATTTAACATATTAAATATATATATAGCGCAGTGCAGTGTTGATTTAAAGGAAATAATCTTGAATTACACCTAGTGAATTTAAAATTTTATTGGTGAAAAGACTGCATCAAGCATGGTTCCCTGAAAGGTGATTTCTCCTCCATCCCCACTTCCTTCTCTTCTCCCTCTCCACCCCACTTCCAATTCCCATCATCATCATCAACCAGGAACCTTCTACATACACACCTCAAAGTAAGTGTACTTTACTGCATTTTTTTTTACTTTGTATGTACTTTTCAGTGAGCTGGAACCAATTACCCAATATCCCATTGAAACAATGGATTTGGTTAACGAACGACCTTCTGGAACGAATTGTGTTCGTTAACCGAGGGACCACTGTACATGAATTAACTGTTAAACTATGGTAGCAAATTGATGCTTTTGGAGGACGCATTTAATATACTGTATACTGTACTTATTTTTACCCACAATAAGGCATAGTCCTAAGACAAATTACAGATCAGTAATACTACATTATGCAAAAACTAACATTTTAAAAGATCAGAATCACATTGAAATATTACACGACCTCTGAAAGTTGGTGGATGAGTGTGACAGACTGTAGATCTTGGCCGCTCTAACCATCAGCAGAGGCGGCAAATTTGTCTTGGTATGCCTTATTGTGGGTAAAAATAAGTATATATTAAATGTGTCCTCCAAAAGTGTCAATATGCTACCAGAGTTTAACAGTTAATTCATGTACTGTACGTATAATTTCTGATAAACTTCCTACGTGCTCATGAATGTATGTATCTTTATATAATTTAACTAAATATCTTTCGCGTCAAAAACGGTCATCCCAACGATTATGAATAAATTCATTTAGAAATACTGTACATTATTACTTCAGGATGAAATCAGATACATTTGTAATGGCCAAACATCTGTAATTCTTGAGGAGGGGCGGGGCATCTTTTCTCAGCTGGGAAAAAACGCACTATAGTACAGTACGTGCATAATTTCTCTTTTCAAGCTTTAAACATAAATGAAAAAATGCAATACATGCCTAATTTGTAGTAAAGTAATATCTACATTGCCGGAATCCCTCAACCCTGGAACTCTTTGATAGCCAGAATTGAAATTTTTTTGGAAAATTGTTCCCAAAGCCAAAATTTTCCGGAAAATTCCGGCTTTGGGAACGATTTTCCGAGGGGCACATTTTCCGGAAAATTTCAAGACAATTTTCCCGGTACCCGGAAAATTACGGGGATGAGGGAATTTTTTTTCCAGGTTTGAGAGATGAAAATCAGGCGCATTTTCTGGAAATTACGATAAAAAATTTTCTGGATATTTTTCTGGGTTCGAGAGATGATGTAATTGTCAATTTATGGAACTTCCGAGAACAGTTTTCCATTACCCGGAAAATTACAGGAATGAGGGATTTTTTCCGACTTTGAGAGAGTCTTCTCATTACCCGGAAATCTCTCATTCCTGGAAATGCTCTGCACCAATTGTTCTGGCTAACGGAGATATCACTGTACAGTAATTTCTGCAACAACGCCTGTTTTGTCAATGCGAATTGGTTGCAATGCAATTGATGAATAGGGGAACGCTGTTTGTAAAACGCGAACTTTTGCATATGAATGTTGGCTATACAGTAACACGATTCCATCCTCAAGTGTAGCATGGGGCGGGGTTATGCAATGCTTACAATTCACGTTCGACATCACATGTTGAAATCATTCATGTGTTTTGTTTGTGAAGTGTTTTTTGAGAGGTACTCTGTAAATTTCGTTCTTTTTTTGCAAATTTAATTGTTACCCATAAATATGCATGAAAAGAAGAAGTAAAAAGAATGTTTTACAGTGCAGACTAATAACTGTTTACACGAGCGCTCTCTGTTTACATCACGTGATCAGTTGAATCACGCAGTTTCTGTCCATTGCTCTGTGAAGTGTCCGAGATTTTCGCTGTTTTCTCCAATTTTGTTTTAGCCATGAATATGGAAATACAAGGAAAGAAGAATGTTTCCAAGAAGCGTTCTGGTGATTGAATTACAGGTGGTGAACATAAAAGAAAGGCTATAACACTATTGCTGGAAGAAGCTTGAGTGCTAGTAAATCGGTGAGATCACAGCCAAAGTAGTCAGCACCTAACCCTATTTTCTTCATAAGCCCAGTTATTTTAATAGCGCGAATTTCTATAGCGCAAGGTTTCACAAGAACGCAACTATCGAGTTGTAGCAGAAATGACTGTACATAGTACAGTATTAGTGGTGTGACAATATCTACAGCTGCAAATCATGAATTGGTTCACAATAATATGCAGACAAAAATGGATGAATGAGGAGATAGTCACTCACAGGTTCCAAAAACAGTACTGTATAATACTAACTTTGAACTCCTGATATGACCCTTTACATATAAATGAGAAGGTTGTACATCTATGGTCACTTAAGTGAAGATGTTGTGTGGGTCCGACAGGTTCATGTACCGACGGGTGTGCTGTGTCTGCTGCAGGAACACTGAAGAGGAAGACGACCAACAACCCTCCTCTACCACCCTCCAAACTCCCAGGTGAGAGAGAGAATCAGTTAGAGTAAGACACAAACATACATATACACATACACAGTCAAAATGATACATACATATACACATACACAGTCAAAATGACAAAGAAACAGACTCACAATGGGAAGGGGTAATGTAAAACATGTTGCAAGAATCAAAATTAAGTAGTTCACTACAACAGTTTAATGGTATTCTTGTGAACAGCAATGGCAATTGTTGATAAATCAATATAATTTAACATGATTATGAAAACTAAAAAAAAAAAAATAATTGTAAACGTTTGCGAATAACTTGTTATATGGACTTATTTATACTGTAGTATACTGCACAGTGCACCCATATATATATATATATATATATATATATATATATATATATATATATATATATATATATATATATATATATATATATATATATATATATATATATATATATATATATATATATATATATTTTCATTAATTAAGAGTAACTGCTCCATCAGTGGGTCAACAGAGCCAGCAGCTCCACCGCCCTACACGCCACCACCCAGCTATAAGCCCAGCAGGCGCAACATGCTTATCTCCCCGCCCATCTCTGCCACCATACATCGAGGATCGGACAACCCATTCGCACTTCTTACTGGAGCCGAGCCCTCCAACTCCTCGTCCAAGACCTCCACACCACGACATCCTCGTCCCTCCCAAACACACCTGATTCTCCCTGATGCAGAGGCCAACCGCATTGTGGCAGAGTGTGCAGCATACACAAAAACGACAGTGCCTGGACTGGTCATCACCTCACTTGAACCCTCCCATAATGAATGTCATGACTATGACACAGTGCCAATGAATAATCACCTCTCGCCATCCTCAACAACCCACCAAACACCTGAACCATCAGCTCCATCCTCTCCTCTGAGTCGAGATGCTCCTACTGAGTGGACAGTGGCAAAAGAGAATGGAGGTCCTCACATAGTAATCGAGGTTCAAACGGATCATCCCCCATCCAACAACTCTACAAGACCCGGGTCTCCTGCACTCACCAGCTCTACACACCATGCCTCTAGTACATCCCTTGCTGCAAGCAGTAGTTTAAGTCGTCCATGGCCTCGTCAAGAATCTAGTTCGTCTACTGGAGGCCTTATGCCATATGGAAGTGAGGGCGACGACTCACAATTTGTGCATGTCAGAGAGAGACCTCCTACCTCCCCAGGCAAAACTTTAGTAGTGTATAATACATTATCTGGAGACGCTTTGCTCGAACAGAGTAGAGTAGCACGCAGGATGGCTCTCATGAATAAGGGAGGTTTTGGTCAAATACGAGCTGAAGCCACTACAGTGTTTACGGATCCAATCACTGGGCAGGCAGTGAATGGAGATATGCTTGGGCTCAGCTACCGACCAATTCCTCCAGATACGTCAGGTGCTGATAATCGAGTACCTATTCCTATTGTGATGGCTTTTGTTGCGTCTTACATTGGGGTCGGTGCTCTGTTATTTGGGTGGTTGGAGGGTTGGTCACTCCTTGACGCTGGGTACTTCTGTTTCATCACGCTCTCTACCATAGGCTTCGGTGACTTTGTACCTGGCAAGTCACTTGGCTATGAAACACAAGAAGCTCAAATTAAACTTGTAACAGGATCTCTATACCTGATGTTTGGTCTGGCTGTTCTTGCCATGTCCTTCAACCTTGTGCAAGAAGAGGTTGTTCTAAAATGTAAAGCATTTGCCCTTTGGATCGGATTAATGAAGGAATAATTTACCAAAACGCTCATACCAGTACTGCAATAACCAAAGATCCTTCGGGTTTTATAAATTTATATTGATTTCTCAAATAGTCTTAACTATATGGATTTAATTTTACTTATAAAATACTTAATTAGTGAATGTAATGCAATGTTTCCAATATATACAGAGTTTTTAAGTGATCAAATCTATCTTAACGTGGATATGATATGTTCAAAATAAACAAGAATCTACATTCTCAGCTTATGCTCAAAACAAATAGTCCTTGGTTATACTATAAAATATGTAAAGGATGGTAACTCATACATGGCACAAAGATGCAAGACTCAAGGACTATGGCTGTGATAATTTTCTTTTGGCAGAATGACAAATCTTCGTCTGTAGCAATTTTATGTTCGGTTCTTAGATCACCAGTGCTGACTAACACACCTATTTAACACAATAATCTGAAACATTATACAGTATTATGCTTGAATACATTTCTTGACTAGTTTCTCTTGGTATCCAACACACTTTTTAATCTGAAAATTTTAAAACTTGTTTCTAATGAATATTTTTTATAATTCATGCTGATTAATTTTCTTCAACATCAGATGCACATTGGGTCACATGTACAGGTAGAACAGTTATCTTATACTGTATTAATCAGAAAAGATGTTAGGCTTTTGAACGGACATTCTTTGATATTCTACTCACAAAAGAGGAGACATATGTACTTAATGTACTGTAGTAGAGTACAGTTAATTCATTTACAGTACCAAAAGCAAGTGACCACCTTTAGCACAAACTCTGGTTGCTAGTCCTTTGGAAAAGTGATTTACAGTATTTTGAATCGTTTTTGCAGTACAGGTACTTAATAGTTATGATATTGTCAGCTTATGACACAACATATGCGTGTTCTTATAGTTCCAGTAGAGAGCACTGATAAAAAGAGCCACCCCTGATGCTGCCATACTATCAGTTCTATCAAATTTTGTTTTCCTCGATTGGTTTAGATCCTAATATCCTCAATTCTGTTGGACTATTTTGTACTTGTTATTCGTGCGTAGATGTAGCCAATGAAAGTATTACAACTAAGTAAGTGCGAGAAAATGTTCACAACCATATTTACCGAGATTCATTTCCAATGATTAGACCACAGGATGTTGGATCATCTTTAAATTGGATAATGCACATAAACAAAGAGGGTGGCTCAGTTCACTGGACTATAGATGTTGAGGTTGATGTTATAATATATTACTGCATTCAACTATAGTCTTTTAGGCTAATAAATAAAGTAAGTTATACTTCTCTCTGGTAACTGAAGACACTCCTGCTAGGGCTGAATTTAAGGCAGGACAAATATAGCAGCCGTTTAAGGCCCCCCAAGATGTTAAAAGTAAAAATATAAATTGATTAAAACTATCAAATCTAAAGGGATTAAATGATAACCTTTGGCCAATGTTGCCCGATTGACCAATACCAAGAGAGCCCCCACTGTGGGAAAGAAAATCCTCTTGCAAGATTTTGTGATTAGTAAAGGAAATGTTAGGATAAGTTGGTTTACTTATATTATATTATATTATAAGAGTTCACGAGTTTTTGTTCATGTGAACAGTCTCGTTACCATCAGGATTCAGAATTGTATGAATAGCTTATGGCCCTTTCTTTAAACATGGTGTGAATTTGAAACTACAAATTGACCATGATAAAATAAGAGATATTTTACGGTGCATCGTCAAAAAGCGGGAGGCTCAGTCTTACTAAAAAGTTTATTGAATCACTGTTTTATGGTTATATTTGCAAGAAATTTGTTGAGTAGAATTGTTTATACGTAGGTCTATGAAACAATCAGCTGATTCAATCAAAGTGATTGTTGCTGTTGGCAGTACTGTACAACGCTTGTGATACTTTGGAGATGTGCAACTAATGGTTATGGTGTACAAACAAATTTACTTACAAAGTGAAAAGGTTATTAAGAAACATTTTCCTCTTGAAGGATTACATATACAGTACTGTATGTAAATGCTCTGCCTGGATTAAATGTTAATAGTTGCAGATTGAAGCATCCATTAAGGATTACTGTATAAGTAAATGTACAGATAAATTATATTCTAAAGAAAACTTCACAAACAAATTGGCAGTGTCCCATTTAATGTTCAGGATAGATAATGAACAGCCAGAGCAGAGCCCTTGTAATTTACTGTAGTTCTCTAAATTGAGCGTAGTTTATCAAAAAGAGTATGATATTGTATAGATATGTAGCCAGTATAAAATAAGAACAATGTAACTACTGTACATGTACAGTAATATTATACATCATAACTCAAGTAGATGGTTGTATGGTAGCAGTTATATCTGCTTACAATACTAAAAACTTCATTCATTCCACTGTCTCTTTTGTTGCACACATTTCTACAAAAAAGAAATTAATTTCAATTATTTCTAGTACAGTACCTATAATAGCCCAGACATACAGTATTTCCTTCTCACTTAGCATATTACCGAGGCTACACATCTCTGAATAAATTACAAAATAAAAAATCAGAATATCTATACAGTATAGCAGAAACTTCTACCACATATGACCATTTGGGTACTACTTGGCCTGATATCCAAAATTCTACATAAAATTTCGAGCAACTCTTTCCTTGAAATATTCCATCTCACAAAAACATTATTACTGTTACATATTTACACTTATTAAACAAGTACCTGTAGTAGTAATGAAGAACAGTGAGGAAGTCAGCTGAGGAAATTCACAACTTTGCATCACATGCACCATAAATGATTGAAAATACGATGATGCTTAAATGATTCCTTAACGTTGATAAACTGTCAACAAGTATATGCTAGCTGAAAGGAGGCATCTGATTCAGTAATCGGAAAGATGGTAAATATGACGCGGTTAAGCAAGAACGACTAATTTGTTTAATTCAGTATGTACGTACATTATAATTAAATTTAGATAAGATCACTATTCATTTAAATTTGATAACCAATCATACTTATTACTAAAATAATATTAATTATCCATAAATACAGGAATAATAAATTACTTAAAGTATACAACAACCACTTAGATGTAGTGCAGTGGCATGGTGCACTTTACAAAATTCTTGCATTATACCTCATCACTGAATCTCTATATATATATGACCATTCTATTCTTGACAGTACACTATTTTCATGTTTATAGCAGCCAATACGTTTTGTTTCTATCACTAAGTTTACCCGGTAATTTAAACAGGCAATCTGAGCCGTAGTTCATCTGTTAATACTTGTTGCCTGTGTACAGTACTGTACTGTAATATGACAAGAAGGAAAGCTGTTAATACTTCTTGGACATTAATAAATCAGAAACCTTAATTACTGCATGTACTTCCCCATACAAAAGTTACTACACACAAAACATTAAGACTGCAAATTAAAAAATTTTTATAGTTACAATACATAAATCATAATTTTCTGTAACAGAACAATGCTATACAATACTGAATTTGAAAGTTCTTATATTTACAGTTTTGGAAAATTATCAGTGTACTGTAGAATTAATGAAAAGCTTATCTGCGGATACTGCACAGTAGAGGTAATACAGTGATCCCTCGGTTAACGAATTACCTTCCATAACATTCTTAACTTCAGTTAACGAGCATTTCCTCGATTACCGAATTTTTAACGAGCGCCCCTCCACGTGTTTTCGCTTGCATTTGGCGATCCACCAGCTGTAGTATTAGTCTGCCAATACAGTAATCAGTTCTAGGGCTTAAATTCCTTACTATTTTAGTAAATATCAAGAAGTTTGTACTATTCAATAATTTTAAAAGTTTTATATAAATTTTCTTAGTCATTTTAACAATTATTGAACATAATTGAAGTACGTATAGGTAGCTAGTTTTTTGCGTGCCAAACAGCCTGTCAACACACTATACAGGCATCAGTCTCTGTCTTTTCAGTGGAGGTAACATCTTGCTTCAGTCTCTCTTAAACATAAATGCTTTTTTCTGTTTCCAAGCAAATTATTGGTCAATTTGAAATTTATTTACATATTGACAATATATAATGCAGTGCAGTGTTGATTTAAAGAAAATAATCTTGAATTACACCAAGTGAACTAAAATTTTATGGGTGAAATGGCACCATGGGGTGACTTCTCTTCCACCCCAATGCCTTCTTTTCTCCCTTCTCCTCCACCCCCATTCTAATTCCCATTATCACCATCATCATCCAGGAGCCTTCTACATACACACCTCAAAGTAAGTGTACTTTACTACCTTTTTTGTTGACTTTAGGCAATTTTCGGTGAGCTGGAACCAATTTCCCAAAAACCCATTGAAACAATGGTTTTGGTTAACGAGCAACCTTCTGGAACGAATTGTGCTCGTTAACCGAGGGACCACTGTATAGTACAGTACATGTACTACTGTACGTATTAGTAAATCTTTCCCTGTACAGTACTGTACAATTAATACTTTGCTTATTTTCATTCTTTTGTTATTTAAGATATTATTTTGTTTGCAATTTTAGTTTCAATGTGTGGCATGTTCAATATCGTTCTTGGTTTGCTTATTATTGATTTATCCGAGTTGCTATGTAGCACGGATGAAATGCGAAGTCTGCTGTTATTTAAAAAAAAAAAATTAATTATATGATTACATATGCTTAGCTTTAAATTGTAATGTTTAATAGTAGGGTACAGTATCCTATAGCATATTGTTGTTTAATGTTATGTAACTGTATATATTGTGATGAAACTGTTTAGGTTCTATTGTATATTATGTGCTATCCCCACATTACCATTACATATAGGCAACCATTACAAGCATGTAAAATTAATTATTAAAGTAAGAGTGAAAACATTTTAATTGAATTTTTAAGATTGTGTAAAATGCACTGACAATGTAATTAAAAATTATTTATAAAATTCAATTTCAATCATCTGAGAATCATTTGCAACCTTGACGATGAAGCATTCATGGCATATAGCTTTATGCAACAAAACAAACCTTATTAAAACAAGGGCATTGAGAAAAGCTCACCTGTTTAAAAAAAATTGAACCAGACAAGACATGTAGATGGTGATAATGGACCCTTGAGTGACGGCATAATTTCAGCCAATATTGATACTATCCATCATTCTAGATTATTTTGATCTATGTAACTTAAGTGATAATTAGTTGCACAGGACCAAATAAATGGTAAGTCAAATTACTTTTTCCTTTGAGATTCCCTTTTCAAGAAAGTTGGGAAGGGTGGTAAAAGTAGGTGTTGTTAGCATTGGTACATACAGAAACATTGACAATTTCTTATTATAAATTTTTAACCAGAACTTACAGCCCCAGCGGCAAATTTGGCTGACGGTTATACAGTACAGCTATAAAGTGTGATAGGAGGGCCAGGGCCACAGAAGTACAGTGTAGTTGACTGGGGGAGGAGTGACCCTGAAGCTAGTACTGCTGGCAACAGAGCAGCAGGTCGTAAGGTTCATTCACCATCATAAATACCACCTCCTGTACTACATGCTATGCCTGATGCACATACAAAAAGACAAGCATACTGAATCATGTGTGTACAGGGAAAACCCAACACACACATTCACAAATAAATATGTACACATGCATGCATTCCAAGCGTGGATGCAGGAAAATTTTCTGCCCGTCTGCATTCATGACCAAGAGTAAGAGATACCATTCAAAGTAGTAAAATAATCCAGACTGAGGCACTTGTTGGTAATGGAGGTGAATACAGTACGTATAAACATTTCACGGTTAGCCATTATCATTTCACAGCCATTTTCCACACTTGTATGGGTTAGCTGAGGTTGCCTGATGGCAGCTTTCCCTGGTGCACAGTCTCTTGCAGCCAACTCTAAAAGTCATGCATTGACCTTGATAAATGTTCTGGGGTTCATGTACACAAAGGTAGGAGACTGTCAAAATGAAACCATGCCAAAATACCAGAATTTGGAATAATATAGGTGTGTGTAAGATATGTATCAAGCCATGATGAATCTAAAAAATATTAAATTATAAAAACTAAATCAGCTGTCATTACCAGTAGATGCCAACACTAGCAGGATACAGTACTTACTCTACTTTTTAGAGGTCAGGTTAAACTTAATTTTTTTTTTTTTTTACACCTAAGGTAAGGACACATGTGTGCCCCCTGAGGAGCAATATAATTAATAAGAAACATACCCAGAATTCAAGCATGAATTTCCAAAAATATTGTGGATTATTATGGTGAAAAAAGGGGGGGGGGGGGTGATGGCTTTAGATTTCATTGGCACTTTCACCATAAAAATAACAGTGAAAAAGTGAATGAACACATCATAAAACACCATCTGACATGAAGATGTACACAGAAAGGAGCACTGTACTTTTCATTGAAAAGGCAAATAGGTTTAGATTGTATTTTGTCCAATAAGATTGAGGACTGAAACACCACACCACATGTGAGAACAATATTCCATGTGAGGCCAGACGTAGCTGTTGTATTGTGTAAGAAGATATATCAAAAGGAAACTCAGGACAAGTCTGAAATATGAAACCCAGTTGGTCACATTCATTCTCTCCACATGACCAAACCATTTCAAACTGCCTCTATATAAAAGTTTGCCAATGCTCTCAATACCCAGCCACCTCTTACCTCTGATCAAGTTTTCCGATCTTTGTCACATTACACATCACAATTTTCATTTAGCTCATTCAAGCCTACAAGTTTCACCATCATACAACATCACACTATGACACCAGTTGCATAAATCTTTCCTTTATGTGAAGGGAAGGTCCTCTTACCGTCAATAAAGGCAGCAACTCCCTAATCTTCTTCCAACTACTCCTGATGCTTGTAAGTGAACTAGCTTCAGCACTGGTCAGGTCACCCAGGTAACATTGCAGGTCAAAACAGTCCAGGAATATATCCCCAATGATGAGTTTTTCCTGCCTTGCTAAGGCCACTTGATAACTGCACATTCAAGATCACTTAAAGTTGGCAACATCCTGCTGTCTGACATTTACACCACTGCACCTCTTATGTACCCTCTTCAGTACAATCTGCTATCAACACGAAATCAGCATTAACTCTCAGGGCATATCGGTCCTAAAGTCCCACGACAGTCCCTCCAGCACTAAGATAAACAGTAGGGGGCTCACAACAGACCCTTGATGAACCCCCATTTTCACCTCAAATTCCTCTTGTGATTATTAGTTACCATAATATCAAGGCTACCAAGGGTACTGATTTTGGTGGGTAGTAATGAATGACAGAGGAGGCTGAAAATCATCTATTTTACAGGAGACAGTAAGAGTTTGTGTCTTGGTGGCACTGAATGTAACAATGTTATATGAACTCCAATGAGCTAAGGATTCTAGAATGCTCAGTGCAGTTGTGTAATTCAATAGATCTACTTTCCTGGTTAGGGAGTAAATGATACATGTACCTTCTTGCACATTCATGGAACTTTTTTTTTTAACTTTAAGCAATTACTATTGTTTTATTCCAGAAAAATTTATTCTCTATGTGAGACACTTGGTTCACTTTAAAATCTGCTAAAAACTTAAGATTTAGGGCATGGAGCCTTCATGCACATCTGAGGATATACTGTACTACAATGCCATTTATAACCTCTATTATGGTTTTCTTAAAAAAATAATGAGTTGCAGTGAATCTTTTTGAACTCCTAAAACTGTTTAATTTTATGTGTATGAATGTAATTCAGTATTGATATATTTAGGAGATTAGAAAAAAATTCTCATGAAGCCTTCAAGGTATTCTTTAATACCAAGAGCAGTGCAGCTAAACTAACACAGGTACACTGGTAAATTGAGGCACAAATCAGTAACATCTTCATGTGAAGGTGTAGAAAAAAAATATGAATTATCCACTGGTTATCTTTCTGTCACTGATGGAACATATCCCCTAAAAAACATGAGAACATGCCCAGTGGCTGCAAAATCTCTGAATTAAATCAAATATTTCTGTGGTGATGTGCCCATGTCCATTACAAAATTCTCCTCCATATGGTACCTGAGCACTTGGAATTAATTACCAATTTGTCCTCTTTTTTTTGCCATAGGGAGGCACACTCAGTACAGGAGACCTCAGAAGGTAAACAGTATTTGTAAATTTGAATGTATACAACAGAGGAAACTTGTCTGGTGTATGGGCATACATTTAGTCAACAGGTGGGTACTGTTTATCCCTCAGATTGGTCTTACAAGTGAAATATCCTTAACACAATAAAGCACATTTAAAGGAAAACATATCAAACAAAAAATCAAAAAGGAATATACAATGTGGGGTGTTGTGGTACACTATTTACAATCATAATAATAATACTCAATGTGTACATAAGAGAAAGCAACTCATATTGGGTGGCTAAATGATCAAGTCACTAACAAGTGACATGTCTATGTTGCAACTGAGATCAAGAACCCAGCAAGAGGGTTATGGGGGGTGGGGGTAATGATAGTGAGTGAAATAACTAATGCTTTGTTGAGAGAGAGACGGCAAAAAAAAAAAAAAAAGCACCTAGAGGCTTAAAAGTGACACTAGTCATGTATGAAGTCCACCATTGGGAACTTTGGAGAACAATTATTCAGCATCCAAATCAATTATATACTGAACTTTTCAATCCTTGTGAACCAAAAATTTTTACCCATGCATATAAATGACACACACAATAGTGAATCTGAGGGCAGAGTGCACTTTAAAGTCATGAAGGTAAGTGTTAACAGTTATTTGAGGTCGAGGCTATTTTCTATCGTACTCGTCTTTAATAAATTTTCCCTTGTAAAGTAATTTGACACATACGGTATTAATACTTCTCTACACAATTCATGGGGTGTCCTGACAGGGAAGCAATCAAAATTAAAAACTAGTCAGCTAGAATATACCCTCAGTGATATTCACCCTGGGTCCAATCACTCGAAAAAGAAAGAAAGACCCCAGGAACTAGTAATGGCAGACTTCACTTCAGAGTTTTGGACATGTTCTGAGAACTTTAGTAAATAAATAAGACTTCATCTATATTACTTTAATCTTATAAGCCTACCATGGTAAACTCTAGTTATCAAAATTGCTTGTTTCTTCATATCACATGATTTGCACAATCAAAATCTATAGTATAATCATACCAAGTACACCACAGACCTTCCCACACAATATTAGGCTCTATGGACATTTCATTTGGCTTGTCAACTATTCAAAACATTTTCCCATTCAAGTGAATGACTAGTGGAGCCATTAAATGTACTGATGAATGAAGAAACTTGCAAAATACTTAAGTATCTCTGGATAATGCTAGGTTTTTATAACTTTAACATCTTAAATAAAATATGATGATTTACGATGAAGTTGGTGAACTTGACATGATGGACAAGAATTTGTACGTTTGAGGCAAAAGATTTAGTGAGGTATGACTAATGTGAAAAAAGAAGGAAATATTGCAATTGCACATTTTAAAAGGATAGGATATAGCATATAATCTACAGCATAATCCATTTCAATAAGAGAAGGTTTTGTACAAACTATTTGCAAGAAAATATTCTTACAGGAACCAAAGCTATGTTACCCTTTTAAAATGTCTAATACTCATAAAGGTGAACCCACCCAATGGAGTGCTTACAAAATGAAAGAAAGAAAGAAAGAAAAAAAAAGACTGGCTGTACAAGAGAACTATGGTTCTGCAAAGGACCTACAGTACTTGTATTGAAGGGCACTTTTTCTACTACTAACTCTTGCCCATATTTGAAGGTGATGGTGTCAGATCTACCTATTTAAACGTTTGACCTGGCCTACGTTTAACAAATATCAAGATGAATCTTCAGTTTCAAATAAATAATAAATCATAAAGTACCTGGCAGCTTTTGCCCAGTTTACAAATTTGAAGTTTCACCTAGGTCCACTTAACAGCTAAAACAAGTAATATTCATTGGTTTGGAATAAAATACCTCATCAAAACACCCCAAAAGGTATTGTCATAATACTTATATAAGCCCAGGTTGTCTGGTTAAGAAAAAAATCATCTGCTTTATTACACAGCAGATATTTAGTTTTCAACACACTTCAACATTAGTCATCAACTTATTCCTCAAATTCAAAATGAATTCCACCTCTATTTCAATGACAAAACTAGTCATTTCTATCCCTCTTAACCATGACTAGGACATTTAGCTTAATTTAAAGCTAATTAATCCTAGTCTAAGTTGTTATTTTCTTTATTTTTTCATTGCAATTCAGTCACATCAACAACTTAAATTTTCATGGACTAATAAGCTCATGCCAGCACTTTTGATGTCTGAGGTTAAGAGTATATTAGTATTTACTTTCTTTGTCAATGAGTAGCACATGTTACTTCTGTGAAAGTGACTCCTTAGGCGGCAGGCTTGTAGCTAGGCTGAGGAGGATGTCCACACTCTCCTCTTCCGTCAACTCTCCTGGCTGCAAGTTAACGGTACATCAGTTTCCCCATGAACTTTACATGCTACAAGTCATCTTGATCTCTCAAGAAGTTTTCCAATATATTTTTTCTCTCTCTAGTCCATGGTTTTTAGTAATTTCTAGTGCTTTGGTCCATACAGGTACTGAAGATTAACCAAACCAAATGTTTTGTGACATATCATTTCATGCTGTGTGCAGTGCATAATTTTTTTTTTTATTATACACTGCATTAACCTAAACCAAAGTACAAGTACTTTTATTATTGAAGAAAATAAAGATGCAAGAAACAAAATTAAACAATCTTTGGAATCATAAGAACCAAATGCGACCACTCCTTACTAATCCTAATGTAAAAAATTAACCAAGAATCTTGTTTGACCTTTAGAATGTGGTATCATCGCCTCCTACCTTGGAAGCAGGTTGTTTGGTGGTGCACTTCAAGCACATATAATCCTCATCTTCATGAACGTCGCCTGCCTTCAGCCCAACACAAATGTAGTGGAACCAGCCCTCGCACCCATCGCACTGTACCCAATCGACATTCTGTCCTCCTGGATGCTGGCACTTGCTTGCAGCACATGCCTCATCAATATCATCATCATCATCATCACTATGTAAATTGTTTGATGAGGTAGAGTGCATCTTTCTTTTTTTTCCAACACCCATGTTTTTCTTCCTGGGACCATCTTTGTTTGTTGGGCCTCCCTCTTTCTTTTTCTTTTCTCCAGTCTTTGTAATATTAAGTTTCTTTTTTACCACTCCTTTAGTAGTCTTACCCTCAATAGTGGGAGGACAAACCTTTGTAATTTTAGTCTTCTTGATGGGAGACTTATGGGGAGACTTTGGCTGGGCATCCTCTTGCCCCTCCCCTTGAGACTTGCGCTTTTTAGCAGCTGACTTCTTAGCTTTGTTTTCCTCACTGCTGTTGCTGGAAGAGTTTAGGGATAAAAGAGTATCTTCCAACATGGCAGGAGGGTGGTTAGCAGCCTGCAAAACTCTCCACAAATGTGTTGTTTCATCCAAACTAACTTCTAAAAGTTCTCCCTCAACTAAAAGGTCTTGTACTTGTGACCGTGTGTTTGTGGTAAGAGAAATCAGAGGGTCATCGTGGTTTTCCATTACGGTAGCCACAAGACGATTCCATCGTGCTTTATCGACTTCAGATTTCTTTTCCCTGTTTTGTTTGTTACTAGAATAAGCATGCTCCCAGCTCCCCTCCTCAGATTTTTTGTTCCCATCTATATCCATTTTGGATTCACTGTCTCCCTTACTTTCTTTTTCCTTCTCTCCATCTTCACTCAGCAATGAATCATCATTTGTAGATTCATCAGCTTCCATTTTCTCCTGAAATTAAAAGTTTTGTGAGAAAGGTAATATGCATAACTCTTAATTACTTGTAATAAGTGATGAAAGATAATGCAAACACAAGCCTTTATTTTCTTAAAAGTAGAGACTAATGGTATACACTGGTATATACATAAAAAAGTCTGACAACTGACCATGAGCTTTAACCCTGACCTCTGACACCAAGCCTTGAATTATTTGTTCTGCATTACCCCTTGTTCATACAAGCTCCAAAGGAACTGGATTCATATGTATGTGGTTTACTGTACCTTTTATCACCCACTTTTCATTTACATTAGAATATGATGCCCTAAGAGAAACCCCTGCTCGCTGGAAATATGTCGACGACTCCACCATTGGGACCAGCGTCAACAATTCTGCTCCCGACTATACCGCACCTTCAGGATTTATTGAACAGTCTCCAAAACTGGGCCACCAACAACCATGTCACCATCAACCTTACCAAGACCATGGTTATACACATCAACCTCTCCTCCGACATTGTCCCACCTCCTTCCATTACTTTAGGTCCGAACACACTCCAGGTTGTAGATTCCACGAAGCTCCTCGGCGTCACCATAGACAACAAACTAAATTGGAAACCACACATCAGGGAAGTTGTCAAATCCTCCAGTTTCCGTCTCCACCTCCTCCGCCGACTCAAGTCCCTCGGAGTTCCTGCACCCGAGCTCCTCAGTGTTTACACAACATTCATACTTTCCAAGCTCACCTATGCCTCCCCTACCTGGTCTTCCTCCCTAAATGCCACACAACGTAAACACCTAGAAAAAGTGCAAAAGAGGGCATGCAAGATTATTCTCTCCCCTTCCTACTCCACATATCAAGAAGCGCTCAACACACTGACCCTTTCGACTCTCACTGACCATCACCACGACCTCATCTGCAAATTTGGTAAGAAGCTTCTACACCATCCTCGACACCGGCTCCTACTACCACCGGAGATCCCTAGCCCGAGAATTGCTGTTCGACACCACAACCGCATCCAGCCCATACATGCACGAACTGATCGCTATAAGAACAGCCCAGTCCCAACCATTGTAAAAATTATCAACAACTTGTAATAAACCAGTGTATTCACTCCCAGTAAATACTACTTCTTGCACTGTCACTATGTTGAAATGCCCTTTAGTTTGAGCTTTTCCCCATCTAGTTATTATATATCTTATTTGTATCACTTATGTTACTTGTATATTATTTGTAATTCGAAACCCATTCCCCAAATATGTAACTGTATATTTTCAGCCTTCTGGCTGCCAAGCTCTTTCAATAAACCGTTAATTATTATTATTATTATTATGATTTGAACATACACAGTGGTGCCTCCTTGCTTTGCTTTTTCTAAGGTAAAACACACCATTCATTGGGTTGAAAATTATACCATTTCTTTAGTTAATACAGTTTCACTGAATAAATTACATGGCTTATGGGGGGGGGGGTACTTTACTTAATGAGGCCTTATTGTGTAAAACTTCAATGGAGTAGAATACAGACCAATAACCAGACTGTCTTTGATGACCACAACAGTACAGTATTTGTATTGGACAGAACTAATACTCTCTAAAAGTATATTAATATTTTTTCTTCAAAAAATATCAAAATATATATGCTAATATCCCCTCCAACACATTTGGATCAATAAATTTCAACAAGAAATGGCACGAAGAAACTCTAATACACAGTACAGTATTAGCATTTCTTAGTACAGTACTGTGTTTGGTAACCAGACTGTGTTATTAGGTATGTGTACATACTCACCAATGATCTTAAGTTCACATGCTTCTATCCTCCCTTGTACATTTGTTTAAAAAAAATTATTAATATTATGAATACATTAACTTCTTTCTATTCAATATAAACCCACCAGATACGGTATTAACTACGGTACTTAACACCTTTACTAATGAATGTCTAGACAGTGTATAACCACATCCCTGAATTAAAGTACCCATACTAATATCCATATCAGCACATGCATTAAAAATATGATCATAGTATAAATTTTTACTGTTCATGAAAACTTGAAACAGTAACAATACAGAATCATCACCAAAAAGGGTCTATGGCTGGGAACATAAACCTCTTTTACTGTGGAAACCTATCTTCATTTATACTATTTTTGCCTGTTTATTCCAACCCTTTCTATAAACCCAACCCCCCAGTATAAATGAGGGTAACGTTTTCAGGTGAAGTCTTATCAAAGTATCTATATCAATGCAAAACATACTCATAACTGTTTTGAATTCTGACCATCAGCTGTAACATTAATCTTTGACAATTCATATTCAGGTCTGCACTTTGTCTTATTGACTACATAAATCCCTTTGAAGTGTCGTCAACATATCTTTTGGTTTTCGACCTAGTGGCTGGAGTTTCTTCTGGAAATCGTCTCTTTATCTCATTTAAGTTGCTTCATCTCAAAATTTCAGGGATCAGCAAAGTACTGTAGTTTTAGAGATAAAACATCCCCCCTCCCCCCAGAAAAAACCCTCTACTTCCAGCTGGGGAAGGCTAATAAACTGGGGAGACAGGGCAGGGCAGAAAGGCATCTAAACACTTCCTTAGCTGTACAGTGTCTTGATTTCAAGAAGAGTTCTCTGAAGTCCAACATTGTAAACTGCATTGATAAAGACCCTTATCTTTTCAGACTAACTTTTTTATGGATTGATAAACACTTTTTTATTTTATTTTAAAAACAACACTCCCTTCTGGGTTTTAACAGAGCATACATAGCTGGGTTTCTGCTAACCCACACAATTTCTGTTAACTTTTGCAATCAAAGTCATGCACAAACATGCCATGGATGACAAAAAGCAGGTCTTATAGCAAGAAGAATGTTAGAAAATCATATGCAAACAGAAATAAACACAAAAAGCAAAATAGTTTCCAGCAGACATCATACCATTCAAGAATTGAAAGCTGGCATCTGCTGTACCCGTGTTGATAAAATTAAAAAAGCATGTCTGGTTTCTGTTTCAAGTAACTGTTGTCGAGTCATTGTCACCTGAATATTCTTAAGCAGTTGAAAGAGTGAAGGTGTCATCTTGTTCTGATTGAAGATTGATGTAAAGAAATATGAAAAAGAAAACTAATATAAATAAACTTATTATAGTACTGTACTCACATCCTGTACTTGTGGTGAAAATGGTTTATGCTGTTTGGCCTGAGCTTCAATAAGCTTTTGTGAAAATACTGATAACTTCCCCAAAGCAGCAGTCAGCTCATCTGTTTTCATCAGCTGTCGAGCTCTGTCTTGCCATGACATACCCCGCTCTGTCAGGCACTGTAGGGCTTCAGCTTCAGGCAATCTGAAGATAAAAGAAACAAAAATGAGAACTGTAAAAAAACTGAACTTTCCAAGAGCCTTCCATCCCTGGGGTGTGGAAGTTAGCTAAATGTGCTACGTAAGAGGAAATATCACTGAAGAAAATTTTCAGTACACAGTTACAAGAATTAGATTACAAATGAAATTTAATGTGCAGTTTTCCTAATAATGTTTCTTTTAAAGTTATCAAATGTTCAAATAATAAATCTATATTTTCAGGGAGTTGATTTGGCAGACTACTATATAAGTTGGTGACACAGAGGAAGAATGAATAAAGACCACCACCTCTTTTTTCCTATATTGTACTTCAAACCTTGTCTGCAACCTTGACCTCTCACAAATCATCCTGAATTTAGCATATGACACGAAATTACCAAGATTCAGTTCCAGTAAACTTTCCAGTTAAGTTCTCTAATTGGTGAAGTAACTTCATACTGGGCACAACATATGGGAAACACATCTGGATGAGGCTTGGTGCAGAATCAATACATTCCCCACGAAAAGTTTAGGGAAGTGCCGAGACAAAATGTGGAAGGATAAAAAGCATCAGGTGTTGCTCTAATCTAGACACCTACAGACAGTGTTGCCAACTACTTTTTTTTCCTTGTATAGTGCGTTTCTTAATTTGACTGCAGGAACTTAAAAACCTAGACTCACCTGACTGGCAACTTTTGGAGAGAAACAAGGAGAGCAAGAATCGTCTCAAGCCGTGGTCGCCGAGAACGTTCACAAGAGGGACACAAAAATCGACCTTCATTGCTGAGTTTTACTTTACTCCGATGTGAAGAAGGAACACATCCACCTGAAATAATTTAACAAGTTGAAAAGCCAAGAATAATATAGCAGTGGAGGACACCAATTAGGAAGAAAAAGACCATGTAGAGGAGGATGGTGAAGGGGAGGGATAAGACATAATGGAAGAGGATGAAAAAGTGTGGGGGCAAAAATGAAGTGGAGCATAAATGTTACATGAGCACTCATATACAAGGGAAATTTTTTATAAAGTAATGAATTTTTACACCATTCACTTTAAATAATTTTTTCAATTATCATAATATTAAGCAATAAAACTTGAAAGATAAAAGTGTAATTCATAAAAAACATACTGTGAAACAGGTCCAGGCATAAGGAACAAGTGAGCATATTTGGTTGTGGGGGCTTATGGCACAAACAGAAGGTGGCTCCTTCTTGTGGGGATTCACCATCACGCTTATTGCGATTATGAGCCCTCAGCGCTCTCATGGCTCCTAGCTCTCGTTCTTCACATTCCTGTTGAAGCAAAGCCTAGTAAACAATACTGTAGATAACAAACATGCAATAAACATTTTACACACTGACTATAACTAAGAAACATGAAAAATATATACTGTACTGTTCGACCAATTCAACTTACAGCATATAAAATATTTCTCTCATAGTTGGCGTGTGAAAATCCCATCAAGCACCGAGGAACTTTTACACAGAACACAATAAATAATTCCACAGTAACCCAAATAGTGTTAAACTCATCTGAAAATTACATATCCCTAACAACTGTGGCTTCTGGAGTGAAAACAGACCATAACTGCTAATAATAACCTGAGTACATTACTGTATAACTATTGTTACAAATTCATATCATCCATCTATACTCGCCACATCTGAGAAGTTTTTAAATTTCTGTTAAAATTGTTGGATAAGCTTATTTTACAAACTAATGATCACAGACAGGCACCCTTGGGTAACACAACTCGGGATAAAAGAGAGCGGTTTCCCCCTTCCTGATCTGGGAGAAGAATTGCAGAATGGAAGATGATTAAGCAACCAATGAAAAAAAAAGAAAAAGTTGCATAGCTAACTTGTCAATAAATAAAGCTGCAGTTAAGACCTCTAAATGCTCTATTCTAAATACAGTACTTACAACTAGAGCCCGGATGTTTAGGCAAAATGCCCTAAAATGCCTTTTTTAGGGAATTGCGAGTGATGATGCCTATTCTACTAAATAGTAGCCTATTGTGCTTTTTTGCACATCTTTCCACAAAGTAACACTCCAAACACGAAATTAAAGTTTCGGAACACCATAAAACTTGGCAAACCACACCCATAAAACTTGGCAACACTGCTTTTGTCGGCACGAGACGTATATGAGTCGACGCACTGCCTCAGTACAGTACTAGGCTAACAGCAGACCTGACTGCTGAGGGCAGCGCTCTAAAAAAGTAAAAATGCCCAAGTTAGTGCACCATCTGGCAAGAAGTTGAATGAGCTTGTTCGGGAATTTGGATGTGACTTTTTTCCACTGATGGATCAGTGCTATTTTGCAAAGTCTGTGAAAAAGCAGTCAATTTCGAGAAAAAGTACTTTGTTCCGCAGCATGTGCAGACTGCTAAACATCAAACTGCTGCTCAGAAAACGAAACCAGAAAGCCAGCAAACGAGTCTGCTGACTACATTCAGTGCATCCTCCAGCCGCAAGTCTACCTTTTCATTAGATCTGTGTAAAGCCTTTGTTGATGCTGGTATTCTGTTGTGGAAGCTGGAGAACAAGTCTCTGAAGTTATTCTTGGAAAAATACACAAAACAGCAAATCCCGAGCGAGTCTACTTTAAGGAAGAATTAGTTATGGAACTTATGTACTCAAGTTATATTTCTAGTTTTATTTCTATAATGGCTCTGGGAATAAATGCCTTTTAATGCCTATTTTGCCACTTTATTTTGCCCTTTTTGCCTGCCTATTTTGAAGTTTTTTAGTGCCTAAACATCCGGGCCCTACTTATAACAAACCTTAAAAGCCTTGACAACTGTTGCTGGGTTTGCTGCGTCCTCGAGGGTTATATCTAAGAGCTGAGCCTGCTGTTGTTGTGCAGACATCTCTTCTCGCTTGACCCGTTTCCGCTTGCCAGACACTACCCCAATGTCTGTTCTTGGTACCAATACCTGAAGTAGAGAGTAAATGTCAACAGCAATTATTACAAACATTAATTTCAGGATAGTAATATCCCTCGGGTACTTTAATCTTTAACCTATTCATCTATGACTTGAATCTGTTACATCACATGCCCTATTTTGCAATATAGTCCACCATATGCTAAATCTTACAGCTCAAAGTTTCTTATAAGAATTTACTTTCTAAAACATAATGAAAGGGAAATACAAAATATAAAAACAAATATCTAACCGTACATAAAAATCTTATATTATAATGGCAAAAAAACAATCTGATATAATGGTGAGATATGGATATGAAAGAATGAGAAGGGTAGGTCTGGTAAAAATATTGTAGTACAATCCAAAGGTGGATTTCAGCTAACCTACATTTAGTAGGAATAGGCTTAAAACAGCATCAAGGAATATATGATTTACCTCGAGTAGGGTGAGATGGGAATTTTTCTTGAGGAATGTACGAGCTGTCTTCTCCAACCACGCATGTGCAGAAGCAACATTCTCCTCTAGCTCGGCCAACAGTTCCAGGTGCAAGGATACCGGACGGCCTCGAGAAACTAATCCTTCTATAGTCTCAAGAAGTGGGGCTGTTTCGCCCTTCTGCAACATGGTCACCTTGTTTGTCCACTCCCGTGCTCGTTTTACAGCATCTTTCAGAGCAGCAACACTGGGGAGATGGGCAGGCACTTCCTCGGCTTGTTTCACCAACTCTTCACCCTTACTAACACTGATACCTGGTCTGTAGAAGGAATTTCGTATCATGTCAAAAAAATCCTGTATTTACCTAACCTGCAGTTCTTATGTACAGTTTCCAGCAAAAGTTCTCCCACAGCCCTGTGTATCAGGGCTGTGGGAGAACTTTTGCTGGCAACTGTGCAATCTATTGCAAGCCAAGTCTCTTAATTCACAAGTGGAAAAGTCTATTGCATTATTTTTTCTGTCATTTATTACACTCTTTTCCCACAGAATCATTTCCATAACAATATTCAGAATATATTACACCAAATACATATAATTAAAAAGTTGACTAATTCTTCATTATCAAGAGTAACTTAAAATAATAAAATATAGATTGTAGTAAGATGGGTATTAGCAGTTGATATAAATGGAATGTATCTATAAAAAACAAAGCTTACTTGGCATTCAGAGCTTGACTAGCTTTCTCTTCCCAAGTTTCCATGTTTGTGAGCAACTGCTGCAACTGAGCCATGGCCTTCTCAATCCGTGGGTGAGGAGGCAAGGAGATCCCTGAATCAAGGAGTTTGCGTACACACTCCACCGTCACAGACGAACTGTCCTCGAGGGTCTCTTCCACTTCCTCTAACCACTCGACCTATCCATTCAACCAACAATTAGTGAAGATGAATTTTACCTAAGAAATCTTAATATAAGATAAATAATGAGTACAGTCGGCCCTTAACATATGCGGGGGTTAGGTAACAGAGATACCCGTGAATGTTAAGAATCCGCGTATTTTTGCTGCCCCCCCCCCCCTTAAAAACACCCCTGGCCCCCCATGTCCTTATTTACTGTATAAACCTGTGTGTAGTTTGAGTTTTTAAGACCAAATTTTTTAGCAAAAAATTGGGGGTTGACCTCTAAACGGGTAATAGTTTCGTTAGGTTGAAAAATATTTACCAGTAACTATCAGTAAACAATGGAAACGACGCACCACCAGCTGTGAGTGTCAGTACAGTTGCCAGGGCAGATCTCTTGCGTCATCATAGCAAGCCCAAAGTAGCCAAATGCATGGTATGGTAGCACAGGACGATGTAAACCATAAAGTATTCATTTTTTAAAGTTTATTTATAGATACATCAATTTTTGTTCATTACATTTGAAACATCAATCTTTGTTAATTAAATTTGAAACAAAAGAAAACTACGATACAGTATTTCTAAATACCGGGTATTTTCATTAAAATATTACATCACAAGTATATTTTACCTTAACTGTGGCTGAATGAATCTATTCTCAGAAATAAATATGGAAATGTAATATTTTTGCTGAAATGACATACGTATTACAGTGGAAAGTGGGATAAAATCATGGCTAAAACAATGACTTTCGCTTTCTTTCGTTGTTCAAAAGATTTTACCGTAATCGCTTTTCCAATGGTTTTCAGTTAAAAGACTGTAGTATTACAATAATATTCTATCCTAATTCACTTGAATAAATACTATGATACCATATTTCTGAATATTTTCATTAAAATCCATCAAAATCATTTTTCTTGTCATCGTCTTCAGCACCAAACAGCTCCTCCCAGTCTTCTCCTTGAACAGGGCTAGAGGGTACGTGTTTTTCGAATTATTTTCAGTTAAAAAACTGTTACATCACATGTATATTTTACCTAAACTGTGCCTGAATAAATATATTCTCAGAAATAAATAGTAGTTTTGCAGAAACGTGATGTATTTCAATGTAAAATAGGATAAAATACATGACGAAAACAAAAGACTTTACCCAACCTTCCGATGTTCAAGAGATGTTACTCGCATTTTTAATAGTTTTCGGTTAAAATATTGTTATATTACAATAATATTCTATTCATACTGTGCTTGATATAATACATTCACGGAAATGTAATATTTTTGCTGAAACGACGTACGTATTACAGTAGAAAGTGGGATAAAATCGTGACGAAAACAATGACTTTCGCTTTCTTTCGTCCAAAAGATGTTACCGTAATCGCTTTTCGAATGGTTTTCAGTTAAAAAACTGTTGCATCACAAGTGAATTAGGATATAATGTATTACAACAGTTTTTTAACTAAAAACCATTCGAAAAGCGATTACGGTAACATCTTTTGAACGAAAGAAAGCAAAAGTTATTGTTTTCGTCACTTTCCACTGTAATACGTACGTCATTTCAGCAAAAATATTACATTTCCATATTCTCAGAAATAAATAGTAGTTTTGCTGAAACATAATGTATTTCAATGTAAATTAGGATAAACTACATGAAAACAAAAGACTTTACCTAACCTTCCGATGTTCAGGATATGTTACTCGTTTTTTTAATAGTTTTCGGTTAAAATACTGTTATATTAGTGATATTCTATTCATACTGTGCTTGATATGATACATTCACAGAAATGTGATATTTTTGCAACTACAATGCTGATGTCAACACAAGCGTGGTCACAGTGAGACTGACTGACTGAGGGAGCAAGGGAACGTGGGGTGGTGTGTGTGTGTGGTGTGCAGTGTGTGGTGTCGCGCACGATTTGAATAATGTATATTCCTTTGAAAGTATATTCCTCCAGCGGCAATCCGTGTATTTGCAAATCCGTGTAAGTTAAACCCGAGTATGTTAAGGGCCGACTGTACATGCATAGAAATCTTGGCATATTATATTCAAGGGTAGATAACAATCCCCAAAACTCATCCTGGATATATTATAAAATCCATCAGTCGCTGTTATAGGCTTGAATAACCTACAGTGTAGAAAAACTAAATTCTAACCTGTTGGAGTTTATGCTTCAGTCTGGGCAACTCTGGTAGATCAATATCTAAAGAACATCCTGTGTCTACCATTTTGGCAATGACCTCAGAATCTGGTATCTCTTGATTCAGCAACTCAACGGCCTCCTCTTGGAAGGTGGTAACTCGTGTCAACAGTTCCTTGACTGCTTCACCTTCTCGGACAACACACGCTAAGGATTCTATCTGCTCATGGAACAACTTCAGTTCTTCGAGGGTTAAACGACTTTTGGCTTCGCCACTTCCCCGTGTCCTTCAGGAAAAAGATAATAAATATCAAAACTATAGAAACTTCATAAAATACAATTTTAAAAGGCCATAATAATATGAAATTATAAGTAAATTACATGAAACACGGAGAAATTTTTATTAAAAAGTAGTTTAATAGAATTTGTGACCCCTTAATTATATATGCAATATATGCTACAACTGAAATGTAATTTATAATAAGTCCTGCATTCACAACCCTATATTGACCCCATGGAAATACTTTATTTCAAAGTTTCTGCCAAGTGAACACTAACATTACAAAACACTGGTAGAATGGATGTGGCATGCATGAATACTGTATTAAACACTGCAATAATGGGCCAAATTATTTGAAAAGACAATTTAACTAAGGGTGAACAGCAACTGATCAGTGTAGACCGGTTGGTAATGGCCAGGTACATCTTACTCCACATTTAGGCTCCCTAATATTACCTACGTAAACGGTACAACCTAACAAATTTTGTGCTTCAGAAAATGGCGATGGTTAATGAAAATTATTCTACCTACTGACATATTGACATTCAAGTAAAATTATAATGAAGATGGCTATAACTCCTCAGCCATCAGCTACTCTTTATCATTATGCCCATTTGCCATCACTCAATAAAAAGTTGCCTCAGTCAGTGAGTCAGGAATGGTATGCATTATGCTGACTGTAGACCTTAAATATATCTATGGATCATATACACATCACTGTACAGTACAGCCTTTGTTTGCTGTAATGTACATCAAGGGAGAAATACATATTATAGTATAACATTGATTATTTTTTTCCAGAAAACAAGAAAAGTATTTCCTAAAAGACGACTCACCTGGTGCGAACTTTCTTTGTAGCAAGATGGGCAGCAACTGTGGCACATTTCTCTGCTTCTGTTACAGCTTGAATTAAAGTTTGCAATAATTCACTTTCTGGGAATCTCTGGGCTTCTGCTTCTTCAACTAATTCTCGCAACTCACCAAGTTCTTAAAAAAAATTCATAATTAGAATTTTTGTACGATTTAAAAGACAAATAATTAAACAGTTTCCACCAAAATTCTACGCTAATGGTTAAATGTTAGGTAGTAGTTTGATTTTTTTTTAAATACTGTACATGTCTTAGCCTTTAAACTGCATCTTCACAGTAGCGATACAGACAAGAGTGATTACAGAATAACAATACAACATACAGTATATATGTAAATATGAAGAAACAGTCACATTATACCTAGCTTATCATCAGGTTTGGCCTCTAAAGCTTCTTTGACTTTGACTGCCCAATGGTCAAATGACTCTGCCCGCACCTTTAAGCGGTGTAATAAGGGAGGAAGTTCATCTAAGGTGTACCGATACCTGTGGAAAGACGTAATAGCAAGGGCATATGAGAGATAACATACACTGTTAATTCAACTTTATTTTCATGCAAGTTAAGGATGGTTCAAATATTCATAGAGAATTTCTTTTTAATTTTATAAAAAGATGTGAAACTTGGCACCCATAATTTTGAGTGACAGAGCCAATAAGCAAAACAAACTAACCTGAGTGTGTGGTTCTCTGGGGGACACTCACACAACATCTTGTAATGCCTTAAACATACTAAGCGATCTTGTACACATGAGCAGGTCACAGCTGATAAGAAACATGTCGTCTTGCAAAAGTCACATTGTCTTTCATCATCTGGTAAGAGCTCAAATGCCTCTCTCTCTGCACTAGTTACTCCCTGGATAAAGAAGAGTACGTTTTAGTACCTCAGTATTTTGTGGTTAATACATGACACTTCAGTACAATTTGCAGTACCGTATTTATGCAACATTCAGTAATTATAGCATGCTGCATCAGTGTAGAAGTAGAGCTAGACATTAGACTGTACACGAGCTACACTTCTCCCCCATCAAGTTCTACCCTAAGCAATGAAAAAAAAAAAAAAAAGAACTAATCTACATTTAGCATCCATTCCATTTTGATGCATATACCAATATATCTCTTACTATACCATGATGAGTGACCAGACTGTTACGGGAAGGTCGTAATTAAAAAAATTAAAATAAATAACCATCTTATACCAACCCAATGAAGAAGTGATCTGCGGAGTTTCTTTTCCAGGTCGACCATGCGTAGCATGTCTTGATACGTGGCCGCTGCAACTGTTAGATCTAATTCATCCGGGGTGGAAGCCATTTTGCAAACCAACTCATTATGGGAGAAGACACAGTAACGTTTCAAATTGCTGTAGTGAAGTACACATTCCCGTCCAATAGCCAGCTGAAACAAGAGTTGTTTAAATTATGAAAAAGATAAATTTCAACAAAAAAAATATACATACAGTACACACAAATTATCTTGATTATACATTAAGCAATTGATACACATCATAAATCAATGAAGGCCATACAATATCTTATTTGAACTTTCTGAAATAATGTTCATTTAACAATTTATAATACTATGAACCAAAACCAATAATGAATAAGTCTTACCCAGTCAGGTGGAGCAAAGTTGACAGCCTCAGCAAAATTATAGCCTTGGTTAAACCCAGCATGGTAGGATCTTGGGAAGGTAATCACAAACTCTCCAGCATGTTGATCTGTTCTAACAATTGGCACCCCTGCAAATAAAGTTTTGTTGTACAAATATGATACATGGTACTAAGAATTTCAGACTCACAGGTGGCACACATATGAATATGCTTAAGGTTCTATGTATTTTGATCTACACTATGCAAATGAGAATTAAGATAAGGGACCTACTACTATATTGATGCATGATGGCAGAAATTAAAAGCATCTCAGAATTTTCCCTTGTTTGTTATCATTTGTTTTCTCTCACTGGAACACTAGATGTCACAGGGAAATAGGAACTTCAATGATCAGTTACATTGCCCAAACCAGTATAGCAAAACCTTTAATGTACCTGATTTCATTAAAATGTTTGGATTCATAATAGTGACTAGCTGATGAAGTAGGTCAGGTTGAGCTTGGAACAACTCCGGAGCAGCATTCTTCATGGCAGATTCAAAGAGTTCCGCTTGACCTCCTGGCACCCCGTACCAAGTTTTGGGCTCTCCCCTGTAAACAGACACAATCGGTTACCTATCTAGTAGTGGATATGGGAAAAATTATAATAAACAGAAATAAAAATAAGAAAGACCATGATCCAATTTACTGTCACAGAGCAGAGGAGAGGTGAAAGAATTGTCACAGCTGCCTTTGTGTTCAAGATAAAACAAAAAACAATTTCAACTCTAGATTAATCCAATACAACTTACCAATGCAAATAATTGATGGAATAACTCCAGTGATCTTCATTATGCCAGCAGAAAGTAGAGAAACACATACCAACGTACATCCAAGGGACTTTCATGCCTGATATATCACAGTTTATGTGCCCCAGGACAGACCCCTCCAAGACTGGCAAATTATTTAGGTTCCATCCACTGACTGCATATTCCTGTTAAAATAAAAAGATAAATATATGAATTAATTAGTGCACTCCCTTTATGCTATCATCCATTCACTCCTAATTACCCACTGAAAGCCATGCTGTCCAGTTGTTAAAAATCTCCTGCTTGGATGACCTTTCCCCTGAAGTATGCATTACAGTATAGTGACCACTCTTGCACTTCCTGCTCTTTCTTAAACAAACCTTAGTCAACCCTGTCTGGTACCTTGTTTCATTATTTATCTCTCTAATTTCTGCTATTTTTATATTCTCTGTAGTCAAATATTTATTGTGGACAGTAAAGAGGTGAATAAATCTGATGGGGAAAAAGAAGCAAATTGTAAGCACAAGTGAGGAAGAGTAAGGTTATGGTGTCCGAGAAAGAAAGGAGTTTGACTTCGGAGATTCTGGTAAAGCATAGTACTCAATAAAAACACCAACCATCGCAACTTTAATCTTCACCTATGATGAAGAAGGAAGTACTGTACTGGAAAAATTAAAAACATTTCAAGTATTTGTGAGTAATTGTAGGTATGAATTACACAATGGAGTAAAACAGTAGACAATGCAGGGGAGGACGCGACTGAGGAGCAGGGAAGAATCATTTGAGGCGTTTAGAACTAGAAGGGCAAACACACAAAATTAAAATTGTGAGAAAATTGTTATAAGTTTGTACAAATAAAAATGGCTATAGTTCCGTAAAAAAAGGCACATACAGGTATCCTCCAATTTACGATCACATATATATACAGGTATATAGAGTACAGTATATATTATATACGGTACTATACATATATAGCACATAAACATGATTCAACTGAGATTTCCCTGAGCTAATTACCATCTAAATAAGGTTCTCATTTTCAAACATACTCTTCAAGCAGTTTTATTTTACCTGGTCAGCTGGGAGCAAATTCTTTGAACTTTTGGTAGGGAAACCTGATCCATGGTCCATTGTGTGAAGGTCTGCACCATATTCTACGGTCACATCCTCGTCAATGGAAGAAACGATACGCCAAAATTCTCGCTCTGCCATCTCTGTTGGTATTAACTGGAAAATATATAAGTTAAGATTGTTAACCAGTCAACTCCTGACTAGGTTATATCTTAAACATGTGAACTCTTCTATTATTAATTTATGCATTTAGCTGCTACAGTATAGTAGTCAGTCGACAGAAACCTAGTATAATATGTACTGTATTCACATTGTATTTATGGAGGTTAGGTTAAAATTACTGCATTAAGATTAACTTTTATAACTGGTCTAACTGTTGTTTACAACAACAAAACCTGCACAATTTTAATGTTACTTTGGGCTCCTTCACAATTTCAGGAGTTAAAATAATAGAAAATAAGAAAAAACTTGCTGTTGAACTGAAATAATTTCCTCCATTCAACTATGTGTAACCATGATAGCAGTGACTAGCATAATAAGAGGTGCAGGAACATAACCTCAAAATCCATCAAATTTCTACTATATATAGATAAAAATAAATACTGTAAATAAATATCTTACGTGGACTGGCATATTAAAATAATCTTGTTTGAACTTGTCTGCCATTTCCCCAAAGGACTGTAAAGTGTATTCTTTTTGAGCCTGTTCAAAGCCAAAGGCCTCCACTGGTTTGCTCACTTCAACTGCAACACACTTTGGACATCGCCAGTCACCTGCAAGTGGAAGTATTTATCAGTCATTTCTCACCTTGATATTCTAGAACTTGCATCTCCCCCCAGAACTTGTAGTCAGTCCTCTTATTAACCCTATTCATGGAGATAACACAAATAGTGGTATTAACACATCCTTGGGCTTGTCCCACTTTAATCGAGAACCAGTTTCCTTAACCACAGTACCTGGGATCAACAGTAAGTCGCAAGAACAAGTTTCTCACAACTTTAGTTATTATTTTGGAAATGTAACTAAATTACAATACTGCATACCATATATCATTATCTGAATCACATTTGCTCTTCACTACAAACTTCAGTTTCCACAACATCAATGATGGTGATAATTAAAACAGGATAATGAAATCTATATATACTGCTCCATACTTCCAATCTTAACTGCCCAGTAAAACTATTTTAGTGGAAACAATCAACATATAGCTTCTGCAATTAGAAAGTTTCATGTTTAGCATAACACTAGAATGAGTAGTACAGTATACTGTACTGTACACCAACCTTTTGGTATATCTAGAAGAGGAGGCACCAAGCAGAAGATGTGGTAGGAGTCATCACAACCATCACAGAGTAGCATCTGGTCTTCTGCATCTCCACGTCCACAATTCAAGCAAATGTACTTGGCCAGCTAATAAGGACACGGGATTAAAATCATGATAAAGGAATATTGTTCAGTGGAAAATATTACACAATACTGTATACTTCATCACATAATTCTTTTCTATCAACCTTACTCCATTCCCAACTTGGTGGGGTGGAACTGAGGCAATAAGCCAGGGGGAATCTAAGTACTTTCATGTGTTTTTAGATGCCCCCCATAGTATGGAAGGGATACCAAGGCTCTCATATAAGGCCCAACCTCAATGCCTTAAAAACAGCAACATACTACCAATGGCTCCACCTGAAGATCGTGATGGGCAAGGGAAGCATTGTACAGGAAGGATAAGCCAGTAAAGGAGGTTTCCCCTTCTCTCACTGATGATCCTCTTCAATGTCATTACCAACACGGCTCCATCACAGGATAAAACAACAAGATTACTCACATTCTGTTGTCCAGGAAAGATTTCTAGTTTACCATAATACTGACTTTTATTATTTCCTCCCATGTATATAGTTCTCTCTTTTCACGTTGCATTATAACTTTTGTGTACAATTACAGAGGCAATCCTTTTCACACATTCTTATATCTTGATGCATGAAAGCGGTGTTGTGCAACTACACAACAGCTAAACCAACAAAGGAAAAATAAAGTCTGTTTCCAGTTACAGAATGAAAAACAATATGTTGGTCATCTGAGGAAAAACATATCCTTGAAATACTTTATTATGTAATTATATTACAATTCTGCTAGTTCATCACCTACTGTTAAATATACATCATTCTGCCACCTGTTTTGTACTTGTAATACAAATTTTCTTGCTTCCTGCATTATAGCGGTCATGACGGGGCAAAAGAAACGTATCCATTTCTCCGCAATTTTCATTATCGATATACTGCATACAGTATATATTTTTGGCTTCAATCGTTTACCTGAGTAGTTGGATGGCCAAATTTGACTCTTCGCTTTTTTTCTTCACCACAGCCTTTGTTTCTCTTGGGTCACTGATACTAAGAGGTTAGAGCAGGCTAATAGTGTAGAAATGGGCAGTACCCAAAATGTTTCTGAAAAATCCTGTATAATCAAGCCTGCTCTGAAGGTATAAGCGTACACAAGAGAGTAAGAGAATAAGAAAGGATGCAAGTGTTAAAAGCAACTGAATTCAAGTAATGTATTATGACTTTTTTTTGTCTATCTAAAACAACCAATTTAAAAATTAATACAGTATAAGCAAGCTCTCTGAATGGGCAAGTTTTAGGTGTGAATGGGTGTTACATCATCTGGGGTGGGGGAGTGGGGAAGGGGGGGGGAGGGGGGGCTACAAACCTTCATTAATATCATAGTAAAGTGTAAATCACCACTGCTAAAAGCTTTTAAGCAATGAAATCATTTAACCATTTGGGTTAGATTTGTGTTAAACAGCGTCCAATTGTATGATTATATGTCTGTCAAGTGTTTAAATGCAACAAGACTGCAAGCTTAATGAAGGTAACCAGGTTTAACCAAGGCACCTTGCAGGTACCATGATTAGAAGTTATGAGGAGAATAAACTCAGAGATAAAGTTAAATTAGGGAAGATAAATCTCATGTGTAGCTTACCGGGTCCTGATCAGTATAATCAACTTTCTTGCCACGAGTCTTTCCCGTATCCTCAGGTGAGGCTTTGTCAAAGCCAGCCATCTTAGGTCCAGCACCATAAAATTGAAGCCTCTTCAGCTCCTTGCTGCCTTTACCGTCTTCCTACAACACAAGAATTCAATCTTCATCGATTGGTTTCTTATGTTTCACTTTACCATACACTAGTTTTCCTTTATGTATACTGAAGGTCAACACGGTCTTCACTAGCACTAGACACCACCAAATATTCACTTGATTTAACTATTTTGCAGCATAAAATTCAATCCAATACATTTTTACATCATGACATGGTTCTTCTGTCTCAAGCACTCTAAATACATCTTCATTTGTGACAGGTTAACTTACAAGTGCTAAGACACCATTATTCCTTATACTTCTATTGAAGCTATAATATTTTTTGCACCATCAATAAATCTTCTTTCATTCAGTCCAGCACTGTTTTAGGAGTTCTTAATTTTACAGACGGCTGGCTTTACAATTGCTTTTAAGTAAACATAATTAATTTACCCTCTCCTTAACCCAAAATAAAATTGAACAAGTGCATCTGATGAATCATAACAGTGCTTAAGATAATAACATCATGATATTGATTAGGTACACTTACAACACCTGTTAAAGGACGGACTAACTCATACGATGCCAAGCAATACCAATCTTAAAACTGACTCTGGCTTGTGGTGTAAATGAACTACTGTACATTAACACACAACACAGTACTGTATAATATCCTCTCAGAGGAATGCATAGGTAGTGATGAATAGCACCGAGAAAAAATTAAAAGGGAATATCCAGAGACAGGCTGAGGGCAATATAAATATCAGTCTTGAAGTTGGTCTGATGCAGTTTTTACAAGGCGTCTAAAAATTTACATGAATATTAACCAAATTAAATAATACAAATTTCTGGTGATCTCAAGGGCACAATTTTACAAAAGTTAAATCCACCAATCTTAGTTATATTTGGCTAGTACAGTATTGTGTAATGAAATTTATAAGACAAAAGGACAAACAGATAAGAAGGCCCAACTGATAATGCTATATGATGTAACCTAATAAGTCTCGACACAAACTGGTCACAAAAATCTTACACCCTTCAATGGATTTACTCTTGATGGCATTAACTTTTGCAAGACTGTATCCGACACTTCATACATTAAATACTTAAACAGTAATATCAATTCATGCATTGGCTGATCTACCACTTATCTAGTAAATTCTATACAGTGATATCTATGTTAGCCAGAACAATTGGTGCAGAGCACTTTCGGGAATGAGAGACTTCCGGGTAACGTGATGACTCTCTCAAAGTCGGAAAAAATCCCCCATCCCCGGAATTTTCTGGGTAATGGAAAAATGTTTTTGTTAGTTCCCAAATGTGCCGATTACATCTCTCGAATCCGGAAAAATGTCCCTCATCCCGGAATTTTCTGGGTAACGGAAAATTTTTCTCGGAATTTCCAGAAAATGCGGCTGATTTTTGTCTCTCGGACCTGGAAAAAACTCCCTCATCTCCGTATTTTTCCGGAAAATGTGTCCCTCGGTAGCTCGTTCCCAATTCCGGCTATCAGAGAGTTCCGGGTTTGAAGGATTCCGGCTAATGGAGATATTACTGTATAAGTACTGTACAAACATAGTGAGTTCTGCTATAACGCGTGTTTTGATGACGCAAATTTGCTCTAACGCGATTTATGAATTAGGAACGATATTTGTATAACGCGAACGCTTGTTTGCTATAACGCGATTTTTGCTTACTATTTCTCCAATTTTGTGGTATTAATTGTGAATATGGTGAAGAAGAATATCTCCAAGAAGCGTTCTGGTGATAGAATTCCCGGTGATGATCGTAAAAGAAAGGATATAACACTTGAAGAGAAGCTCGATGTTATCAACCTCAAAATCACCCTTCTCCCCCATCAAGTTACATTCATATTTTTTCAAGGTAGTGTTACATTTACTGTATGATTTCATTATTAGACATGAATGTAACATTTATTTAGACTGTGGTATCCTTTGTGTTAGGCTAACTACTAAATTTTTTCGATTTCGAGTAATCTGCACCTAACCCTATTTTCTCCATAAGCCCTGTTATTTCTATTACGCAATTTTCTATAACACGATATCTTACAAGAACACAATTATCGCGTTATAGCAGAACTACCTGTACTCACTCAAAAAATAAATTTGTACAGGGACACTAAATCCCCAACACACTAAACATGAAACTGAGGCAACCTGGTGAATTTCATGATTCAGTAAAAACAATCAATCACTCCTTGAAGAAATTCTAAGGTTAAGAACTCTTTATCAGTTATATTTTTTTATGCCTACAGCCATTTTTAATGTATATACAGTATTTTGTGTCAAGTAATACATTGCACACAAAGCCAAAGGACCAAGGATATGGTGTGTGTTGCAGCACGTTAACTAGAAACTTAATTTACCTGTAAACTACGGAAAACTATCCAGATAATTTGCTTAAAAGAATACTGGAATAATGTCCAAAAAATCTAAAAATCTGAAATGACAAAATTAACTACCGGTCTTTTAAAGGTCCAAATTTTTACATTACTCTGCTAACTAAATTAGTAGAGAAGCTGTCACGCTTGTAAGCCCCTGCAACAAACACCTCATTCTAAACGTCAAATTATATAGATCCTATTCCCAGCACAAGAACATCAACCTAACTAAAAACTATTAAAAAAATTGCAGTATTAGAAATCCTGTCAATTACCCAATATGAAAACTTGAGATTTCACCAAACAAAAAATTACAATGTCCAATACATAACCACTTTAAGTCAGAAACCCAGTAATAATTATGCTATTTTAGTAACATCATGGAAACTCACAGATTTTGAGCCCCTGCCTTTATTAACATACATTGAAACTGATGGATAATACCAAAAAAGAAGTACTGTATTAACAATGGGTTATTATCAGCCCCTTTGTTAACACCTGGCACCTGTATATGCATTTTTTGTGACACTTCTAGTCATTATAAACACCTGTGAAGCCCTTGGCATCATAATGAGCACCTGCAGTTCATTCCAGGGTCATTACTAGCACCCATGAATTACTTAGGGTTATTATGAGCTTGAAAGATATTTGGGGTGGTCTCTATGATCACCTGTGCATCACTTGGCTGCATTATAATCACCTGGAGCGCTCATTAACAAGGCATGGGTAACTAAAAGCTATCCCCGAGTCCATATATACACATCAGTTAATATACACATAGTAGCAGCCAATATGTCCAACTTAACTACAAAAGATGATGTACACATATGCCACACACAGGAAGACAAAATTAGTACATACAGTAGTTAAGTAACCATCTATATCACACTTCAAATTTTAGAATATAACATTATCTTCATATTTTCTCACAGATTCTTTGAAAAGGCAATTCACATGTGATAACTTGCCATCGTGATATTGTTCCCTCCTATGTAGATGTAAATAAACTTAAGGAAGACAACATTTAATGAAAAAAAAAGATAATAATTACAATAAAAGAATATTATATCTCAAGACAGTAAGTTTAGTTTTAAGTGAAGGAAAACAGGTTTACATATTACCAAGAGGACACAATTTATTTTTTTTTCACTACCACTTTCAGCTACAAATACATAAACTGCATGTGTTAAATTTAGACTAAAATATATATAAATAAAAAATACTGTCATATCAATCCTAGAGTGGCAGCACTGTTAGGGCTTGGCTAAACTAGGACAGTCACTCCAGGAACTGTATTCTACAACTCAAGGGATGAACTGGTTCAGCTCTTTGCAAACCACATTAAGAGCAAAACTACTCGGCAGTCTGGACCCAGTTTGGTCCCTAGCAGTCATGATTAAAATATTTATTTAAATATATGCACTTATACTGTTGTTTCAAAATGCCGTAACAAATTGGCAAGGCATTGCCCAAACTCTTGTTCAACTCTGCTCTTTTTTCTTCTCACTTACCTCATTCAGTTATCAATTAAACATGTCATATAGTACACCTTTTCTTAGGCTCAAAGCTCAACAGCAAGTGCAATGATTTTTGCCAAATTCTTCAAACGAATAATCACCTCCAGAAGTTTTAAGCATTGATGACCAAACAAAAAAAAAAAAAAACTTTTGTCTGACTGTCACATATGTAAAGCATTTGCCATTTGCTTGCATAGGGAAATATTTGGAAAATATGGGTTGCCTCTGCTAGTACACACATTGAAGAAAGTAGGAGCAAAACAAGTTACAGAAATTTTGAAGCAAGAGAAAATAAAGCAACAAATTCTCCAAATGAAACTCAGAAACATCAGAATATGTAGCCAATCACTAACAAAACTATTACCAGGACAATTCAGTTAAAAACCACCGTACCTATAATGGCTCCTTGCCTCTGTTCCACCCACATTCCATTATGAAAGGAGTAAGGTTGATAGGTAAACACTGTATCCCTCTCCCTTCTTGTCATTTTAGGTGGACATTGTACCCGAACGTTCAGTTCCTCACCTGAGAGTACCATGTGTCACTCCCCTAATTTCAAATACCATTCTCTTCACCGTTCTAAAATTCCATTTCTTACCATCAACACATAATATCTATATTGTAAAGCCACTTTTACTGATCAAAATGAGGCAGCTCAAAGCATCAAGAAATATTCGAACAATA